TAGTTGGAGACTTTTGGGGGGTAGAAAGGAAAACCAAAATTCAGCGCTGCAGAGTCATTGAAGTCTTCATTCAAAAAGAATTCATGTGTGAATTTCAATGCGCAAAATATGAATGAAAATTGAAGTAGTCGCAATATTGGTATCGCTTTCTCTTGAAGGAAATATTGGTTGTAAATATTGCAAGAAAGGGTCGAAAGTGTAGGAGATGTGTATATGATGTTATTATTTCTTCGTTCCTCAATATTGGTTGCGAGGCTCTAATGGAAAGACGAGGCAGATTGGTAGGATGGTAGAAATGGTAATGGTAGACCAAAGGACCAAAAGGCACGGACGTGAGACAACTTAAGCGCAGAACAGAACGATAAAGTAGACTTCAGCCACAATAAGCTAATCTGGAAGTGGTAAGTGTGGCGGTTGCCGATCTGGTCATGTGAGATCTTTTGATTAGTCATCCACAAAATAAATTTCGATGTTGAAATGGATTTACGAGCCGGTATAATAACTATCACTTTACTTGCGAAGCAACAATTCTTGCGTTCCTCTCTTTCTTGCAAGGGGCATATACCTCTACTTCTTTGAAACCTTTTCCGCGCATTAGTCTCCCGTTTTGTCCAAGGAGACATTTTCTCTACAATACATACAATACAACGTCTGATATCTCAACTAAATCATTTACCCTGAAATCCAGTAATGCAAGTTAGATTTGCATTTTGATACTGTCTCGACAAAGATCTTGTACAGTACAACATGAACGGATGCAATCGTGCCTCCATTCTTCGAAATTTGGCAATGCCTCCTCATGGCGTCATGCCAGGATCCTGTCCATTGTATCATTCTTTCGAGTAAGCAAAAGAACATTTCTACATGACTACTCAGCAATTGAATGAATTCTAATATATTTTGCGTACAGCTCCCTACAGAAATAAGAGATATTCGTAGAAGCCAAAGCCACTTGCTCCAGCCACTATCAACTAGACACAACTCGACCACTTCGAATTTGAATGAGTCCAGTGAGGATAACCCTTCGCAGGATTTTTGGGATCATGTCAGAAATCGGAAGAGTCCGCAAATGAGATGTCTGAGTATCAAAAGCTGCATTGAACGAAGCCCCATTGAGCTTCTCAGACCCAGAGACGATAACACGTCTAATCGGGAGGGGTTTGATGAAGATAGCAGCCGCTCAAATGGACTCGCTCCTGGCGTAATAAACCATTCGCCAGTCCATTTACGGTCCAAGGAGGTTAGACCGCTAAGGTTGAGCAATAGGCTTAAAAAAGCACGACGACTTTCGAGTCTTGATTTTTTTGGGAAGTGGCTAGATTTGCCAGATGACGATGCTCGGGAAGTACTTTGGCAACACTTTAGATCAGAGAAGTCTAAATCAAAAGTCTCGGAATCAGCCTTGCCAACAATCCTACTGCAGCACATTAGGGTATTTCTATCAAATCCTGCAGCTTGACATTGCTAATTTTGAGGTGACTTAGGGCTACCCCTTGACCACAGACATGAGCCTTGCCTTGCGGAAGCGAGGCTTCAGTATAGACGATCTAGTCGTATGGACTTACATTATTCAAGGAAAAGATACAGATGAAAAGGCACAACGATTCCTTTCTTCGCCCTCAAAAAAGCCAACATTTTTATTACTGGAGATTCTCCGTAATGAAATCTCGCACGTGGAAACTTTTAAATCACTTCTAAATTATACTTGGACTCGAGTTTTCTCACCAAATCCCCAACAACGCACAGGAGACCCTTGGCATGCAATTTTCGAGTTTTCCTTTGCGGAAGAGACAGCGGATTCAATGTTATTCTCTTCACCAGACATGGAATTAACTACTTTCACAGTTCTTATCTCCCGCCTCCTCCATCATGCACGGCATCTACTACCCTCTGCTGTCCTCCCCATATCCCATATGGTTCCTCCATATTTGTTCCATAATCTACATCATGGGTCTACAACGGAGTCGTTGGAGCCACGTGCACATAGCCGATGCTCTCATTTGCTCAATAAACTACTTCACGCCTTTTCTCGACCATCACAATCTGTCCCATTTAAATCTATGATCCATAATTGGCATGCGCAAAAAGTCCTATTGCGTTTGGCAAATCAGACTAAACCGCCCCTAATCATTGACAGGGGTGGTTATCATGCTGTACAAGTCGTACTACTTGCATTGCAAAAAACCGATGATGAAGTAAGATTAGCTAAGCTCCAGGCAAAAAGTTGGCCTCCCTGGAGAATTGACCAAGATGGTATGGATGCCCGAAGATCGCCAGATGAAGATCTGAGTAGGGTCGTCTTTGCAATAAGGCAGATGAAGCAAGCTGGATACAGTTCGAATGTCAGCACTCATGCTCATGGTATTCTTGGGGGGCAAGAAGATGATGGGACACCAACAATTCATACCAGGTCTTTGTCCAAAGGTCGTATTAGAAAGTTGCGCTCTTTAGTAAAGTCTAGTCCTCTGCATCCTCGGGTTTGGAGTTCGAGGATCACAGCAACGCGTGATGTACAGGAAGCTTGGAGCGCATTTAAGACTTTTCAACGTCTAGGTGGCACACCCACCTCTTCCATTTATCATGCTGTGATGGAGAAAGTTGAAGCCGAAAATAGGAGGGCCGGTCGTTCCCGAATTATAGATGTGATACCTGGCGAGGGGAAAGAAGTTCTTCCACCTTCCGTCGACAACTTCAGCGATTTCTATAAAGAGGAGCTTCGACCGCCATCATCTATTGATTTCTTGTATGAGACCATGATGTCAGCTGGAGTACGGCCACAAAGTGATTGTCTAAATTTCCTTATCGGACATGCTAGGGGAATACCTGATGGTATAAAGTATCTTCGTGAAAGTGGACAGCGACGTACTTTCTTGAAGTATATCGTTGGCCAAAACGCTAATCCACCAGCCAAAATGACATCTGCCGAAATTCGCATCATTCATGCATTCGTCACCTTACTTTGCAGGTGTGCGGATAAATTTATCCCACAAGCTTCTTCAGACTCCGAAACATCAATGCCCAAAGATCCGAAAGGGCAGCATGAAAATTTCGCAAATGTCATCAGCGATATCAACGCAAATGAGACAATGCCACGGACGCTGCCCAGATCTAGAAAGTCTGGTATCAATCCGCTGTCTCACGCACTGGAGCTCATACGAACCAGCCAGACAAGGTATAAGCCCACATGGTATGCGGTCTTCAGTGCACTTGCTAGACCTGGCATTACGATTGATCCTAATGTAATTGGTGACCCGCAAGATGATATCAATTCCTGGAGAATCTCTGCTGCTGTACTACAGGACTTCCACGACGCGGGGCTTGAGCTTGAGCCAAACGGCTTTCAATTCATTTGTCGAGGACTGGAAAAGGCAATGGTCGCATCATCCAGAGTAGACCAAAAGTCACCGTTCGCGGACGATGTTCTACTTGTGAAAGATGAATTCGCAAAGTTATCTTCGACAAGTTTCGATATTGGACTTTCGACCCTTGCTCACGAACTACAAAGCAAAATGCACGGCGCTGTTCTACATGCCTACGTCCGTGTTCTAGGACTAGCAGAGGATTTCGAGGGCATCAAAGCTGTAGTAGAGTGGATGGTGCTTCATCACGAGCGTTTAATTGCTGAGGCTGAGTGGGGCCGCAATGGTCACGAGCTCTTGAGAAGAACCTTGATAGCTGCAAAGGTTTTTTGCAGTGGGACATCCTACGAAGAAGAAGCACGCATAATGTTGGAAGGCGCTGAGGGCTGGGCATGGCCAACTGATCAAGATGCCAGAACTTACGTTGAAGGGGGCTCATCGTTCGAATCTGGTGAGAGCTCTTTAGTGAGAGATGGAAATGATGAAAAGACCTTACTTCGGGATTTCTACTAAGATAGGCCATTATATTAATTTAATTGATTGTTCATTTAGTAAATCCTTGGAATGAAATGGTTCAGGGATTGGGCTTTTTGGTGTACGATATTGAAGTAGATAGATTGCCAGTGGGTGTACGGACTGTAGACAGGCACACTGCAGAAGTCGGCTTGGCAATGTCTTTTGAAATATCAGTTCAGATATCTTGAACGTTATGACAATGACCCACTGAAGATTGCATAATGGAATAAATGATTCAGATAATGCATTTATTACAAATTTTGAAAGTTGAGAAGTGTCCCGTCAGTCTATGTACCCACTGAACTTGATAACCTTTTCACAAATTCTTGAGCATGAAATGCTCATTTCCTCAGTGAGTATCCTCTTAGTAACTGGAAAAGACATCGCTGCGCTCAGAATTCGGCACATGGGTCATATTGGGTATTGGATATAATGGGATGGACACAGGGATAGACCAAGAATAGTTCTGGCACGCTAGGAAATGGTATGTGGAAAATGAGGTATGCGGGTATGCAGGATAGGATGGCGAGGATGGGTTATAAATGAATGAGGTTTGATGGCTTGGAAGTTGGGAATGGTAAGGGCTGGATGTATGGCTCGATGGACAATATTGGGCGGGTGGGGAAGGAGGTGGGAAAGTGGAGGAGCTGTGAGCTGTGAGCTTGGAGCTTTGGGTTGGTTAGTGTTGGATTGGTATCGTAGATAAGGGGAGCTGGGAGCTGGGAGCTTGGGGATTGCTTGGGTGTCGGTGGATGGGTGGATGAGATTGACAGTGTTTGGCAGAGAGATAGAGCCATGGATTCTTTCTCGATGAACTTGCTATGTTTTGAAAATTGTAGTTTGGAAAACGTCTCTTCATTTATTTATTGCTCATCCACACTCTTTCTTCTTTGGATATTTCAAAAAAATACTATAACATATACAACGTACTAAGTATATAACATACATCAGAATGTAAAATAGCCTGCTAAATACATGTCCAATCCACCGCGGAAGGTCTTAACTGTTCTTCAATCTCCATGTACAATTTTTGCTGCATCTGCATGGGCATCTGCAAATTCTCCTCTTCGTCTCCATCAATCTTCATATATCATGATCAATCGTGTTTTCGCTCACCTCCTACTCTCACGAAGTAAACATCCCCAATTGTTTCTGAACATTCATGACCCTCCTCCATCTTTCCATGACCCCCAATACACTCATGACCCCCATCAACTCAAACTCATCTCCCAGCCCCGCACTTCCGCTCTCGAGCTCCAACCACCTCATCATGCCCAACACTTTTCCCCTCTCCTTTCTCGGCCTCCTTTTTCGTTCCTTGTCAGCCCAATCTTCATTCCCAACCCCGACATACACAGCGATCGTCTCGCCCGTAGAACAGCGCATTAACTTCATTTTTACCCCGCCTTTCTTACTCGTCATTTCCTCGGGTACGGACGCCAGCCCGACGTGTGGCGCGGAGGAAGATGAGGATACTTGGCGCCATTCGAATTTCTCTTTTACGAAAGTGCGCGGAAGAGTGTGGTAGAAGGCGTAGCGTTCGGCGGTGAAGATTCCACCCGTAGGAACGAGCTTTTCGGTCTTGTACCCATGGGATCGCACGCCGAAGGTGAGGGATTCGTTGGCGGAGGTAGGAAGGTTGTAAGTCGTTGGGGGCGGGACGATGGATTTTGAGGGGTGGGAGGAGGATGAGGGGGGTGTGAGGGGAGAGAGCGGGCGCGTGGGTGGTGGGAGGGTGGTTATATCTGTTATGAGGGTGACGGTGTTGAAGCTTGCAAAGGCGAGGAGGGGTGAGTTGGGTGAAGCGGTAGAATGGAGCGCTATATCCGGTTTATTAGGATTACTGGGAGGTGGTAGGGCTGGAACACTCTGTGGTGTGGATTGATGAATTGTTATGTAGAAGAGTGGTGGTGGTGAAGAGGCAGGTTTATGGCCATTGCTCACTGGTTGTGTTGATGATGGCGAGAGAAGAATATCATATATTGAATTCCTCGTAAATGTTAAATCTCGTGGGAACCTGATTCCGGAACTAGAAGGATTGATGGGGGTATGAGATGGGGGATTGCTCGGGGCATGCGTCGAATGAGTAGTGGTATTAAACCTCGACGTTATCGCTGATATGGGGGTGTGTGAAAAATTAGACGAAGTTGGGGATCGAATAACTGCTTCCGGAGCATCTGAAGATTTTATAACTGCCTTCAAGGCATCTGAGGGTTCTATCACTGCTTCCGGAGCATCTGAATAGGTATAATCGAGAGGAGTTTCTATCACCTCGGGCGCATCATTGTAACTGTGATTTACGACTTCTGGTGCGTCGTGATATTGGAATTTGGGAGTGAGTTCTTCGAGCGTCTCATGATAGTAGGATACAGTAGGACTGATGGACCCTACTGATTCATAGATGGATTCGGGGGATTCATAGCGATGATATGGAGGAGGAGTTTCGGATGTGGGGTAGAACCCCTCGTCGAAGCCTAGGACTTCTTTCCACTTGGATACCGATCTTGTCCGTCTCACAGACATAATTACATATATGTAGACCGTCTTGATGTTGAATTCTCTGGAGAGATGGATATTTGCTTGCAGCTCGGATTCTTGATCGAAAACAATTGGATCGGCATGAGGTTGCGAACACAAGAGATGTATGATGTTTGTTGTATACGAAACGGCTAAGAGCGATCGATAGATAATATTGCAGTAGATGAATGGCAAGGTAGGTGAGGTAAGGTAAATTGTAATGTCACACAGAAAATAACTACGGTTAATTTTCCAAAGTGCATATGTCCACACTGAAACGGCACAGCGTGAGCTTTCATGCTGACCCCCCTATTAGTTATTGGTTATTGGTTATAGTGATATTTGCTCCCTGTAACGTGGAGAGCGAACGAGACCACGCCAACAAAGCCAGCAAATGAACAAAACACGAAAAGCTAAAGCATTTTTATTCAGGCATTGAGTGAAGCATGATGAACTCATATCGTAAAATCTCACATACCTAGGTAGCAGGTAATCGCTCATACCTATATCTCCACTGTGCAAAATAGATCAACGAGAAATCTTTTTCAGAGGAATAGAACCTTGAAAGAGTCCTTACGAAAGAGCTTCCAAGATCTGCTTGTTGTCCTGCTTGCACGCCCATCCACACACTTCTCTCGTCGAACTCTCCACATAATCTTTTCTATTAGATGTTTCTAGATGGTTTGAGATAAAATGAACTTGTGATCGGCATATTATCCATTATCACAGGCAAATATGCACCACGATGCAGGTAATACCAGAAATCCATGGTGTGTTGACTTCGTTTCCATTTTCCATTTGTTGGTTTTGTGCAACCCTGACATTTTGAGCGCGGACATCCTTCAGAAATTGGCAAGGTTTGTGTATGCCAATATATGAGATAGGAAATGGTGTGGGAGAGATTGAGGTGACACCTCCGCCCTACCCCTGCATCCTCGCACTGGGCTCCCGTACCTGACCTACCATGTCCTACTTTCCGGCAATTTTGCTCGTGGGTTCCATAGAGCTGACAGCTTGTGCATAGAAAAGAGCCAGAGTGTTTGGCTGGATGTCAGAATAGGGTAACTACAGTATCCCCTGCGTCAACGTCAAATGACAGCCAGCTGATGCAGAATGATTCCACCAGACCGGATCAGCGAAATAAAAAACAAAACCCTATTGATTAAGTGGAATCAGTGGAGGTGAGGATAAGAACCCTTTAGATGAAGAGTGGGATGGGTTGAAATTTGATGGTATGAGAATATTATTATTGAGTTTTGACGTCTAAGAGCTCATTAGCTACTGTACGATATTGCGTTTTATCACATTCGCTTCTTCCGAGTGGATATTCGATAACCGAATTGATTGATGATTAATTAGACGATGGTTGATGACTCTGATATGGATGATCTGGTCTGAATCATCTGATACGTCCGAACACGAACAACACTTGCCTAATGGATATTTCTTCGAAATTGCTCTCTGGGGGATTGAAATCATTTTGCTGAAAGGGGATTGCCGTGCAATAGATAGCAAGTACCCAAATTTCATCTGATATACAAGGTACAAAAAGGTACCAGCCGTGAAGGGCTTAGAGTAATCAGGGGTAATACGCCATCGGTCCCATTCGGGCGCTTCGAAGTAACTGAGCCTCAAGCCGACCATCTCCCTCATCAACCTATAGGATTATACATGTACTTCGTGATCGTCCAACTTTTGCTTTTTGAGTTGTATTTCCTCCCGCGTTCAGATCCTATACGGAAGGCTCGGCAAACGTATAATTCTCTCCTATCCCTCGGATTGATGATTATTGATGGCTCTCCAAATTTGCACCTCGAACTTCAACTCGTTGTCAACTTTTAAGCTGTCATCCCTGACTTCCGGAGCAACATTGGAGCTCGGGCATCCAAACCATCTAAGGAGTGCAACTACCACGACCCGGTCCAAGTAATCTTATTAATGGCCGTCCAACGCACACCGTTTATCTCGTACAATAACTTCCCCAACATTTCCCCGAGACCATCGATAACACAACAATTGGTGCCTGTGTCCAGTTTGGCCAATAGAGACCAAAATGTGGGGACGGACACCAACTTCTTCAGATGTCGAAAAGTTTTCTGATATGTTCATTTTGACATAAAAATATACTACTGTATATTCATCCGTCTAGGCATCACAAATTGTGATTTACAGTATCTCAAATATTTGACGACGTAATCTAAGCGGCAAAAGATCGACTACACATCGAAGATGCATTGATGGCTGGAAAAGTCGTGCGTTGTGGATTTTTTTTGGCATTAAAACGTGGCCACCATCTGAGGGTGGCTTAATATTTCCCGTCCTTTTGCTTATTTATGCGTATGCAGCAGCATCTTGCCAGACGCCGAACAGGAAGTATGATTTATTGAATTCGCATCTTTCTCCGGTATTTCGAGAATGATGCTTTGATGATCCAGCAAATATGTACTGTGGTTTGATGTAAGCAGTTATTCAGGCATCGAAAGTCCGGTCGTACTTGGACATCTCTTGATACAGCGGGAAGCAGCGTTTCTGGAGCTCCTGCACCATCGGCATATACTCATACTTTGCGATAAAGCAAGCTCGCCAATATGCACTACTAAGGTAATCAACTCATGCTGGATGTGTCGATTCATCAATGATCGGCAAATCTGCATGCACACCAGCCATCTCCCAAGTTCTCGGGTTTGAGGTTGTCTCACTCAGAAATCTGTTTTGGGATTTCAAGTTCTTCAGAGTATTCTTGAATTTCCACTTCAAGATACCCAGTTGATGTCCCTGGTAAGGTAATGCAGCATTGCAGTTTCTGACGTCAGTACTTCTTCCCACTATGAAACATATAGGTAAAGGGCGATTGGGTTGCGGCAACACGGTCTTTGAATGCCGCTTATCTGCAGCTTGTCAGGCGCCATTGAATCATATTGCTTACAACAAAAGCTAGACCACATGATGCTGTCGTTCATGTCGCTGCAGAGATACTGATTCATGATTGGTGAAGAGCTTCGGAAATACAGTATTGCTAGTCAACAATGCATATCAGGTAGTCTTGATAGTGATTTTGGCCGAAACAGTCATCGGAGATGCGAGTGTGATATCCATGTGAGCTATGGCTATTTGTCTTGTCATTAGGAAACGGCAGCCGACGGTCATTATGGATCATACAGCGTAAAAAGGTGTTCCTAAACATGTAGGCCCTCAGACGACGCGGCAGTCGGAGTTAGGAGATATTGACATTAGAAAGGTTATGATCCAAGTATGATGATTATCTGGGCTGAGCTGTCGCATTTACAATATCGATTTTCAAGTAGGAATGATGTGCAATACTACATCTCACCGCTTTGCCGACGCGACCTTCCTCAATTCACTGTCGCCTCTCGCCCCAAAAAACATAAGTTTTAACACAACCACTTACAACCTCACTCCCTGCGCCTTCAAAAATTCCAAGACGAAAATATAAATACAGACAGACAGCAAGACTATGCAACTGGCAAAACCTTGCCGCCCCATGAGAGGGACGGGAGGAGAAACCCCGCGACGGGATTTTTTTCCGATTCGAACCAGGCGTATTACCACTCCACCACCAGACCGCATTTGACCTGAACAAACAAGTCTGTTTGTCGCCTTTGCGATCTGGATGGGAGAAGTTGCTTAAGAGGGTTTATATAGTAGAGTTGATGTTTGTGTGTGGGAATAGTAGATATTTAGATGCTTGCTTGATTGATGAATATTTTTGTATATCGCAACATATCTCTCTATGTATGTGACCCGCGCAGTTGATATGGCAATAGAAATACTTTTATGGGCAATGAAATGCATTGGCTCTCTACAATCTTTCTATCAACTGCACGGTGTCAACGTCTTTTCTATACTGTTGAGAATTTCCTATCACACATATAGGCACGCACCACAAGTCAAATTTGTCACAGCAGCTCTAGCATTATACTCGAGTACTAGAGATACAGTGCCTTCGAGGTATAATGCGACTTGTCTATAAAATACAAAAAAGGTCAAAATGACATGCGAAGCAAATTATCTTGCGTGATTCTATCACTCATTAGACTTCAGACTCTGTCCATACTCAATTTCCAATTTAGCTATAAATATCATGCATGTACAAAAACACCGCCCAAACTTGTTCACAAAATTACAATTAGCAATACACAATACACCATTCCATCTGCAATCGCCGTTGTCTGTGATTTTGACCCTGCTGGAGCACTCGTGCTATCTCCAACATCAGTTCTGCCATGAGTGAAATCTGTGAAGGTAATTCTTGTAGACGTCTGATGATTAAGGATGGGGTACAGAATCCATTTCCCATGATATTTTGAAGGACTTCTAATTATACCAAGTACCCAATTGAAGAGACAAAAGACGTGAGTGTTTATTGAAGGAAGAATATAGCATAAAGTGAGCCATTCCCTCGGAGACATAGACAGGGATAATCACAGCGTGAGTCGCTGAGAAGGAGCCTGTGGAAAGATGCTCGGATCCCAATAAATCTTGGGCGGTATTGTGAAGGTCGTTACTTCAACTTTGATGCTTCCGACTTCCAAATTCCCCTCCCAATATAGTTGATACCGTACCAACGTGCTTTATGTGAATGTCGTTGTGATGCGGACGCGAAGCCGATGATTCCCCGGAAGCTCTGACTTGTGATGTTTAAGTGTCGCACTCAGCCTCAACATTCACCTACCTAGGCATAAGCAGGAGCTTGGAGTTATCATCCTTCCTGTAAATTAGTCGATTGTGCCTCGTTCTCTATTTATTATCACTGGTTGAAATACGCCAGAAAATCAGCTGAAGATAAGACAACAAACCCTCGTCGGATAGCCCTATTTGGTTGAGAAAAAACAGACTGCATTTGTCAATCTCAATCTCAACATCGATAATTAATATCCTCTAGAAAATCAATCGCAAATAAAACAATTAATTTTGATAGCATGGAATAAATTTTCGGCTTGAACTCACCTAGGAACGCATTCTAATTTCTTTTAAATTATATCTGTGGAAGGAATAGTTACATTGTTGACAGGCTTCACTGATGGTCAATTGTCATCTGTCCTCCGGCTAAGCCTCTTCACCGATGTCTATGTATCGATGATGTAGAGCGCCGAGGAGCAAGGCTACAATAACGGTGCCGATTTCCTCAGCTTCTGATCCAAGTATACCCACCATGCCCCAGTTCTACTCAGGGGAAACTCTGTTATGTGTCAAGCCACAGAGTGAACATGTTTCGCGGTCGGGTGATTCATAATAAGGCTGGTTGTTGGAAAAAAGGAATCAAATGTTTGCGTCACATTCCTTCATCAACTGAAACAAAAACACATGCCTTGATATACCACTCCATGAACTTCTAGCATTATTCGCGTTGCTTTCTTCTGCGCGTCGGTCTATTTCTTCATTTTCATCTTCATGTTTATTCTGTCTGTCTGTCTTTCCCTAAGCAAATTCATCAATCATGGCCGTTAAATTTTATCCGTCGCAAATCGGATCCAACCTCGTTACCCCTTTGTCCTACACTGCATCTCCCGCCAAATTGTTTCTTCAGGATTTGTGGATTGTGTTTGTGAATCTTAGATTTGTTCCTGGTATCTTTCTACCTCTGACTCCCACACCTTCTGGTGTGCTGGACGAATTATACCCTTCTGCAGGAAACCTATTCGATCTTGCTTTGCATGCTGTTCTGTTCTTTCTGCAATTATGTTTTATCCTTTCGATTCCTATCTGGATGATGATGCCCGTGTGGGTGGTAGCCACGGGCTTCACCATGTTTTGGACGTTTAATTATTACCTTTGTTTGGTTTTGAATGGGTCAGCATCGGTAACAACGTGTGAATCAGCTCCCGAGTATGCCCAAAGAAAGGAAGAGCATGCTCATGAGCGATGGGTGTACATGAATGGTGTTTGTACTGGGTAAGTCTCCCGAGGATACCATTTGCATCGTAGACTAATGGATGGACAGTCACCACTGGCTCAAAGGTTCCGTGGATCGTCTTGCTCTCACATTCGGCCGCCCGGTTCTAGGAATTCACAATAGAACGTAAGGTCTTGGAGGATTGTATTCCAGTTTTTTATTAACAAAGTGTAGCAAAGGACTCGTCTTTGATCTCTTCGAATGTCTGATTCAGCGCACTCTCAATTACGCTACTACTGACATTCGTACCTCGTACCGCATCCTTAAAGCAACCCTGTACGAACCTGAGGTTACACGAGTGATATATATTCTACACTCGCAAGGCTCCATTGAGGGCAGCATGATCATAGACTGGCTTCTCGCCGAGATTCCCCAGGATCTTCTCCAAAAGCTTGAAGTCTACACCTTCGGAAACGCCGCTAACCATTTCAACAATCCACATCTCCAGATCGCATCTCAGAACAAGGCCCTGGCTCACCCGTCATTACCGGCAACTTCTCTAACTAGAACAGTAACCACCTTGTTCACCAACTCAAGTAACCCAGTAGAACTCCCAACTACCCGAAATGGAAATGGGAAAGCCATCCCGCATATCGAACACTATGCACACACATATGATTTCGTCTCCCGATTCGGAGTTCTCCACTACCACAAAAATTATAGTAATGATACCTTCGCCCCGCGTTTCATGGGAAGACTATTTGAAGTAGAAACTGTGAGTACATTTAAAAGAAATGTTGACACATCTACTAACCCCGATATATAGAGCGGTCACATGTTCGTGCAGCACTACCTAGACACCATGTTTCCACTTTCCAAATCCGCACGAAGGCTGTTGCAAGGCACCGGAATCAAAGACGACAAGAAGCCTACAGATGCAAACTCAGATCAAGAGCGTGTGGATGAAGAAGACGCATTTATGACCAGTTCTGTCGAAAGCAGAGGTCGTGTGGCCCCGGAAGATAAACTCGGGAGAGAAGATTGGGAAGTTTCTTGTGTGGGGGAATCGACTGATGATGGGGTTGCGCCACAAATGAGCGCCAAGAGTGGAAAAACGAATGGGTCAAAAAAGAAGAAGGAGTCGAACTTGTCGGGAGAGGAAATGATGGTAACGAATGGCGATTTTGGAACGGGCGGTTACAAGGTTAAGAACTTGAGCAGATTATGGTTGTATCGCGATGGTAGAAGTCCCATGAATTAAGATGGGTTACAGTAGTGAATTCTTTTTTTGTTCATTGGAAGGGCAACTTGAGTATGGTGTTTGGTGATGTGCCCGGGAAGGACTTTTGGTTCGTCGGGCTTTTGAAAATTTCTTCTTAGAGGGGTTATATTCAGTATGAGTATTGATATACCAGTGAATTTGGATGATTTAGGGCTGGCGCTTTGGGATCTGAAATTACATTTGGGTACCAATCTCTTTTGCTTTTCATGAATATGCACATCAGAACCCCTAAAACCGTGAAAGAGCAACCATCCTGTAAGTGTAGGTATTATTATATTCTGAGTTTCCTATTCCGTTATAACTCTCTCCAAACCATGCATTCATCGTCCATATAATACCGCCTAAGTTCACGCAAATGCGCATTAAGCATAAGCACCATCGCCCTTGTCTTTACATACAGGACAACCGCCTCTAATTCTATCCTTCAATAACCTTGCCCTCGTGACTTTCGTTCCAATACTATGCACATTCGTGTACCTGCGCTCATCATCCCCATCGTCAAATCCGTCATAAGTAGGATGTCTTTCTGCATCTGCGGATTGGCGAATTTGATCTTCACTCTTTCCATAATTCAATAAATGTGATAAGTGCCACACATGACCGCATGCAAAACCAACCAACGTCTCCATTTCGCCTTCATAAAAGGCACTTTTGCAACTTATGCAATGAGCAGGCTTGTGCTTATGTAGTCGTCTAGCGGGAGGTTGTTGGGTTTCGTTATCCACCTCGAATTCTTGTTCGGCGACATCGAATTTGACACCACGACGTTGACCTGCTCGAAGGGTATTCTGGGCCATTGCAACTTCACCTCTTAATACTCTTGCTACTCCTTGGCTGATACTTTCTTGAATTTCATACTCCTTGATCATTCTACTTAGACCTTCTCTCAAGCCTTCAATCTCTAGACCTTCAGGAATTTTGCGGACTAGTCGGATTGGATCAATCGCTGTTCCAACCTCTTCCAACAATCCGCGAATGAATCTAGGTTTATCCATCGAGTATTCAAGAAGATCATCCCAAAGGTCGGCGTCATTTTGAGATTTTGCAAATGATATTGCTTGTGAGACATCTGCCAGACGATCAATGATGAGATAGAGCGCACGTTTTGTTTGACCAGTCTTAGAGTAGAGATATACGAGCTCTGGGATGTATGAATGATTTTCGCATTCAAGTGTTGCCTAGTAAATTGTTAGTTTGCATTGAGAACAAATCGAAGTCACACAAACCTTTTCGAAACTGTAGAAGGTGGAAGACTTAAGGAACTCCATAAGTAGATCGCGATCATATGTCGCGAAGAGTTGTAAAGCTAAATCAGCCAGACCGTCGACAAGCGATCTACTTTCTGCGATTAATCGATCACGATTCTCGCCTGGAATATCGTCGATGCCGTCTCCTTTCCAGAGGGAGCTGACGTAGAAGAAGAGGTACAACGGCATTTCTTCCAACTGATCCACGACAATCTGAGGCCGAACAAGGCCATGATGAGCCTCGTCAACAAGTAGTTGAATAGCCTCGGAAGTGGCTTCCTTTAATTCTGAAATAGGAGCATGTCGCCTCTGCTCTTTCGAAACGCGGAGCATGATAAGACTGGGTAGATTATCTGCGACTGCGTCCACCAAGTGATATTGTTTGATAAGGCCCATGGCGGTGTCTGCATCCTGCAGCTTCATGTAACATTTTAAAGCCTCACGATGTCGACCATCAGCCACGTAAAGCTTTCCCAAGCTTTCCATGACAATTCGCCAATCTCTACCGATTTTGCCATCCTCTACGCTGTCTTGGCGGACATCACGAAATTTGAGCTGGTTTTCTAAAGCTGTGGCTACAGCTTTGATATCGAACAAGTCGGGAGACCATTGATCGAGTAGCTCACCAACTCGTGGTAAGTTATGTGTGATATAATGCGCTAGTACGATTTCATAGATAGTCGAAGGCAGAGGTGGCGTGATCTGTGCTGTCGGTATAAAGTTGGTAATCTCATCAAATTTGTCCTTTCCGGCAAATGTCCAGACCCAATGTTCCCACCGATCAGATGTACCCAGCACTTTGCCGCATATCCTGCCTGCTGAGGTCCAGTCATCATTCTCAATCAAAGATTGAATCCAAAGTTCACCAATCCTACGCTTCTCTTTTTCCACAGAAGAGTTAATTAAGCGACTTGCAGATTCGATAGTCGTGCTTTCATTATCGTAGAAATCATCACTACTTGAGCGTGTTCGATCCGGAGTTGCTGGCCCAATCTCAGAGAGTTTCTCGGGAGAAGATGAGATCACTTCGGGATGTTCATCAATCAGCTCCCAGGCCTCTTGGTGCTTTTCGTGCTCTAACAGCCATGCAAGATGGTCAGATAAATCTCGCTTTGTAGCCAAAATGCAGTCATATGGACTTTGGATAAAGATTTTCATCCCTGGTGTGATAATGTGCGGATGAGCAGCCGTGGCGCGATTGTGGTGAGCAACTTTTGATCTAATCGATGTGTGTTTCGAATCACCATCGCCTGTACTTCCATTGCTAATCACACTTGCACTGGAACTCAGCAGTGCTGTAGCGTTAATTGTAGCATTCCACATACCACTACCCATTCCAGTAAGGGCTTCCAGAGTTCCACGAGATGATTGAACTACTGGTTGATCTCGAGCGGCAGGCAACACGCACAAATGGTAATCGCCAGCCGAGAGCCTTTCATAACGGCTAACCGTCAATCCATCAGTATCAACTTCTTGGGATGTTCCAAGATCAATGAGACGCAGTTCTGGAGATAGTGCGTTTTGTCGACGCCGTATTCCACCGCTCGGCTCACTACCTGTGGACGGATGCGATCTATGTCCTTTCGGCGTAACAGATTCCTCATCTTCATCATCAGGCATAACATAAGCAAGTACAACAAGTAAAGTTGGGGTATATAACGATAATCCAGAAATTATGCAGTCCATCCGTAACCTAATGATGTTAGAAAAGTGCTGGAAACACCGTGATAATGAGTTCAAATCTTGCAACTCACATTTTAATGATCTCAGCGCTACCAACTGTGCGCTCTCCCACATTCTTTCCAACACCGGTTCCACCAGGGTGCACATTAATCATCCAGATTGTACCACCCCATCCAACGACCAGCTTTTCAATACGCAATTTGTCTCGCGAGGCTTGCAATCTCAGTTTTGCTGTGGCCGGGGAAGCAGATGATGCTTCGCGAGCTTTGTCATCTTCATCAGTTTCAAGAGTTTTCTCGTCTATCCATTCGACTCTAGCTTTCCAAACACTAGCCATATCTTCCCATTGCTCTCCATCTGGACGAGGTATGTGCCCAATTCGCTTCCAAGCAGATTCGGTATCCGCACTATCCAGTTGTAGATGAGATCTCATAATCTTGATACCATGCTCATTGCTCCATGCCACATATCTTCCTGATAAGGACCACTTGATGGTATTAATTGTGCCTTCGCCGGAGTGTAACACAGTATCCTTCCCAGCATGCGTTCCTAGACCAATCGTCCCCAGCCAGCCACTTGCAGTAGCCGCTGCACTTCCTGTAGTAGTAGAGGTCGAGCTTGTACCTGCTTTGCCGCCGACGGTAAGCACTAGATTTCCTGCCAGTCCTCCCGATATATATGAGCGATCGTTTTTGTAATCCGGCGACAAACTGACAGCTTGGACAGGTCTCGCAAAATCTCTCAATTGTACATCTTTTACATCAACCAAAGATGCTATGCATACCTTGCCATCAACAGAAGATGTGCCAATGTATATTGCGTTCGAAGGAGTTTTGGGGACTACTGGACCTCCAGGACTCCGAGCTGTGGTTGTGGAGGTCTGTGATGCCATTGACGGAGCTCTCTGCGGTGCATTTGAAGCTTCTGGTTGCACGCGCGATGTGAAGCGCTGTACAGCTTCGGGAACTGGTGTGGGTAGCGGAGGAGGGAAAGGGGATATGGATATGCTCGTAATTGAAGCTGAATGGGCATGGTAGGTTCGAATCGACTTGAATGAAGGCAACGATAATACATGCTGCATATACTGTTAGAAGATCGTTTGGGTGAAGGGAGGGATCCATAGCATACAATATTACCGTTATGTGTACCAATAAACTAGAAAACAGTTAGCTAGAGAAATACAGTCACCTGGTGATGGAGGTTCACCATCTTGTCGCCAGCGACTAGGAAGGTACTTGTAGCATCGCCATTTCTATAGACTGGGCCAAGATGGCTTGTCATTCGAGCATATTTCAGCTTGGGCTCTTCCTCCTCTTCATCCTCCTCGTCGTCCTCCTCTTCCCCATCCTCCGACTCTGTCTCAACGGTGTCATCATCGTCCCCGGTTTCAGTTCCACCTTGACTGGACTCAACACTGTCCAGGTTTTTGGTGTCGCTTTGTTCTTCTGACCCTTCAGCCATAACGGCAGACTCTCCCGATCACATTTGCTTTTGTTGTCAAGGATGGCAGGGGTAGCTACACCGACGACGTCAATGCAATTGAGGTTTGGAGCAACCTGAGATAAGGTTAGCCGAGTTCTAGGCTTTCGGCAGTAAATTTAATTTTCTGTAATTTTGAGAATTTGTTTCGAACCCCCGCAAAGATGGACAATTTTCTGTATAATTTATGTTGTATGACTGATAAAGTCTACAATAATCATGAAGTCATTCTCTCGCTCATTTTGCTCTATCGCAGTTAAACGGCCAATTGGTGGAAATAATTTACAGCTTCCTTATCGATGCCTCCTTGCTTCAGCACCGACACTATACCCTAGGAAACGGAACTTCTTCTCATCCAATGCTATCCTCCAACAAGATGTCGCATCCTCAAGTATTGAATCAGCAGCCGAGCTGAAGCCGGTTCAGAAAAGGAAATCTTTACGGTCTCCCGCCGGAAAGACGAGTTTAAGGAGGGTTGCAGTTGAAGCTCAAAGATCCAGGCAGAACATAACTCGACCTGAAAACACCTCTGAAAATGTTGAAGGCACAAATAGAGTTATTGCTATCTCCGTAGCTGATCATTTTGATATGGAAGCTGTAGCTCGAGTTCTACGATCGCATGGTTTCTCAATTGACCCGGATGGAACTGGCTTTGAATCCGATGAGGTTATACATACACGAGGGGTCAATAATGGAGATATATTTGTGTTTCCTTCAGGTTCACTGGTAGCGTGGTCTTTGTCCGAAGATGTAGTTACGGATTTGGCAACAAAGACTCTATTGCCGGCTGCTATTGATTCACATGTAGGCAACGTTGAGATAGAAGATCTGGAATGCGAGGAAGACCCCAAACGGGAAAACAGCAGCATCAGAGGCGACACCATTGTGTTAGGAACTAAGGACTCACCAAGCGAGGGACGTGTAAGGTATGCTATGCCCGGTCATATTTGCGTCATGAATAGTGTACACTAACTGTTGCTGTAGCTCACAAGTCGACACAACTCTTGCAAAAATAGCCTTTTCCTCCGGCCTTGCTAGATCAACAAAACTCGCGGTCCTCGAGACTATGCTATCCAAGTACTTCGAATCTACTAAATCTATACCCACATTACTCTCACGAGGGTCAAGGCTACCCTTCAATCGGCAATTCATGTTACAGAAGACTGGAGAGCTACTCGATTTACGAGCGCGGTTGAACCACTATTCTGAGCTCACAGATTCACTTCCGGATTTGTTCTGGGACAGTCGGCATGAATTGGGCCTGGAAGGATACTATGATCAGGTTGGGAGGGCTCTTGATGTTGGTGTACGAATCAAGACTTTGAATCAGAAGATGGATTATGCCCAAGAAATCGCGACGATTCTTCGGGAGACGATGAGCGAAAAACATAGTATTCACCTAGAGTGGATTATTATTGTTCTCATTGCTGTGGAAGTAGGGTTTGAGCTTCGGAGATTATGGAAGGAGCGAAGTGAGCGATTGGAAAAGGAAATGGAAAAAGAGAAAGGAACATGACATTGCTAGACCGTTGACTTGTTTCGTTTTTCTCAAGATACCCCACTCCATATTTGATACCAGAAAATTAACATTTATCCCCATCATTTTCGGATGCAAAATGATACAGAATTCTATCCTGCGTACTCAAATTATTCCAGATGCAGACTATCTTTAACGCAAACCAGCAAATATTTTGATGAGTCCAGCGTTCGTACGAATGCAAATGTCCCACCTATAACCAAGGAGTGAGCAGGCTTGAACTAGTGTTATACATCGTGAAGGGTTCTTGATTGGCTATTTTCAGCGACTGCCCTGAATACCGCCAGCAATTCTACACCTACGCACCAATAAGGCTGTACACAAGAACTTGCTTTCATGCAAATTAATCCTTAGACATCCCGTCCTGAGTATCAGACCTATGAGAACAACCGCTCGAGCTTCCAAAACATATAATCTCTAGTCGCCCATATTTTACTTCTTAATCGTAAGAGGTATGAACCCGGCAGTCATGAATCGTTGGAGGAGAGAAAGAGCAAAGGAAAGAGCGCCTATGTACAAGGTGCCAGTCACTGCGGATGGACCAGACGCCAATGACGATGATGCAGACTCTGAATATCGTCCAATAAGAAGATGGCGATCACAGAGGAGCGAATATCGTATATCAGAAAGGTACGAGAGACGAAGCCAGAGTCAGAAGCAGCAGAGGATGTTGATTCGGGTGGTCGACTGTCCACCTATGCCAGGTATTATTCCAGAGTTTCGGGGCTTGTTAGAATGGATAACTAGTTAATTCAACGACTGGAAGCATACAAATAGTCACAAAGTCCCAATGTCAACATTTCCTGGAAATTCTCAAGTAACAGATATACAGCCTATGAACGGGCCAGATCAATCAACTCCCAATCTAAGGAATAAGTCGTATGTGCTTTTGCTTCCACCTTGTGCGATATTCCTCGTACAGCCTATACCCAATCTTATCACCCTCTGGACCAATGCTCCGATCAGATTGGACTTCTAGAACGAGTAACTACCTGGCCCGAATCAAAAAATTATGGAGATTTACTAAATTTCAAGCTTGTTGTAAGGTCGCTCAGCGAGCACCCAGAATATTCTGCGTTATCTTACGCATGGGGAGAGGAAACCTCGATAGGTTACATATTAATTAACGGCAGCCTAGTTGAGGCGCGAGCGAATCTAGTAACCTCCTTGGAAGATATTCGCCCAATGACTGCCTATTTGTGGGTTGACACCTTATGTATCAGTCAAGATGATGTCAATGAGCGGAACCACCAAGTAATGCAAATGGGCAGTGATTATAAACAGGCAAGTGAAGCTATAGTGTGGTTAGGGGGTGAGGCTGATCGCATGTTTGGGCATGATGTAGAGACTGAGATGCCCGGCATTGGGCTCTGTTTCAACAAAAAGTTGGCTTCATTGCAAAAAGGTCCAATGGAGAAACCATTCGGAGCAGGTGTTACCGCTGAGATTGATAGGCTTCTTGCCGGCGCAGAAATTGTGTCTTTTAGCGACTTGTGTAACAGGCCATATTGGAATCGGTTAAGGATTGTGTAGGAAGTTCTCCTCGCCAAGGAGCTGGCTATTTGCTGGAGCAATAAACATAGTCCAGGACTAAGAACTGTGACCTGGGAAGAATGAAGTCGAGCTAGACAAACTTTGGAAAACTTCAAGTATTCACTTGCATTGAGTTGGGATAGAAAGCTTAAGATAAAAGTTATCGAAGCTATCCTAGAGAGTGCACCCGCAAAACTTGACCAACTCCGAGAGACTGGCAATCAAAGATGTCCTTTCAAAGTATTGCTAGAAATGTTCTCGAGATCCGAATGCCAAGTCCAAGCCGATAAAATATATGGTCTTCTAGGAATAGTAAGTGATATGAACTTTGCGATTTTCCCGTAAATTATGCTCGGTCTTTTTTTGACACACATGTTCAGGTTATTAAGTGCTATACCCGGGCGCGATTTTCAGAATCGTCGCCACTCGACATCATCAGGCTCAGTCACAGTTTAAAGCTTGCATTAGATGGTTCTATTCCAGCGCTTGTAATGGCTTTGAAGTGGCGCGACACAAACCCCGAAGGACCAGGCAAAGTGGTTCAGATATCGGGGTTATTTGGAAGGCTTCATTGTCGCGTCTAATCTCGCGAAGCATGACCTCTCCCAAAAATTGAAAGCAGACTCACCGGAAATCAAAAGGGCATGGAAGAAACTTTCAAGCAAATTCCGAGATATGGATCTCGGTGGCAAGAAAAGCTCAGAGCGCTTCGACGACAAAGTGCACGAATTAAATCTTTTCATATCTAGCACAGGAGAATTTGGCATTGCCTCAGTTAGAGTCCAAGAGGTCGATTTCATCTGTCGTCTCAAAGACACTGAAATCTCACTGATCATTCGTCAAAAAGGCGATCATTACCCACTTGTCAGTGTAGTAGTCGTTTCATCCTCTGTAAGCGATGTAATGGAATTTGGAGGACTCACCAAAAGTAAGAAGGACGATACCCTCGATCTCCCACTTGATTCATTGACACTACAGGCACTGACATGCCCGATTGAGCCCGATGAAGCAGATTTATACTGGGACTGGCTTACGATGGAAGATGCGATCCACAAATTGGTGACGAATGATACGACAAAGAAAGATTCCTCCCAGCATTTCTGGTTCAAACCCATTGTTATTCAGTGAATCTGTTTTAAAAATCCAACAGCGGCGATAATCTGCCACGAAGTATCACTCGTTTCGCGACGTGTTTCCTCACCCGCTACCTGCTGCGTTTTGTAGTGTTTATGAACTGCATTTACATTGATTCTGCTGCACTTAAGTATGGCCATTGGACATACTATGATATGCCGACGAGGAATTCAGTACTTGACTGCAAAGAGTGGAATGTTTTCCACTGTCAACCTTTCACACAGAGATCTCTAAACGCATAGTCCAAAGCACCGGATGTAAAACATCATGTCAGTCAAAATATTACTTTATATAGTTTTAAATCTAAGCTCATAATAATTACATATAGGTCTCCAATCCAATTCAATCTCCTCATCTACCATCCCCTTCTAGTACCACTCCTCAGCCCCTCTATTCCCGCAGACCCCAATCTACAATTCGATCTCCTTCAATCCCTTCTCGCTCAAAAGTCCGTTGGTGGTGGTCAAGATACCACCAACAGCAGTGTTAACCTCTTGGATCACACCAGCATCACCTTGGACAAGACCAACAAAGGTGAGAATTGGAGTGAGGACTGGGCTGAGGAGGCTGTAAACTTCTTGTACCTCAGCGGTGACGAGCTCGAAGGTTGCTATAGAAAATTAGTTTTATATTTCACGGGATGGTTTATGGATGAGAAGACGAAAAGGGAATACATACAGTCCAAAAGGCTACCGAGAAGGTCTGAAAGCACTTGAACGATTTGGAAAACAATGGCCTCGACATCGTTCAAGATATCGAGAACATCAGTGACTTCAGTGACAACAATGTCAAGCACAGTAGGTAAGGTCTGGGAGAGAACACCATCAACGGCACCAGTGAGCGCAGCAACAATATCACCCAAATCCTTGATGATCTCCTCAGCAAGACCTTGTTGACCGGCTGCAGTGGTACCAACAGAGGTGATGAGAGTCTTGATGGAAGAAACATCAGAAACGACGGTGGTTCTGATTGATTTGATGGAGGTAACAACATCGGTGACTTGAATGATGTCGCGCTTGATAGCGACGTCGGCAAGGATATCAGTTACTGGCGAAATGACAGGTGAGGCGACACTGGTGATACCGGTGAGTCCTCCAACTTGTCTCTTGGCTCCGACCTTTGAGACGACACCTTCGACGGCTGAGAAAGGCGAGGCGAGGTTTTGCGCATCTCTTGGGATTGGGAGATCGGAGACTGGAGCGGAGGGAAGCTCGGAGAGGACGGAGGGAGCAGATCCGAGCTTTGGGAGGGAGGCTTGGGGTGCGGCAAAGGAGGTTGCGCTGAGGCCGAGAACGGCAATGAGGCTGGCTCTGTATTGCATTTTGAGGGATTGAGATTGGAATTGGAGAATTAGGGAATTATATAAAAAATTATGGATTGGTTTTTGTAAAGAACGTGGGGGTTTTAAGGAAAGTGTAGTAGTTGGATGAATGAGTGATAGTGAGAGTGAGATGAGAAAGTGAATGATGGGGTATATATATAAGAATCTATACATATACTTCACATCGTCATCAGAATTTGAATGCGGACGACGATCACATCAATGCTTGAAAGGGGAAGAGACAGGAGCTATTGAACCCCAGGAGATTTTGATGGCTGTACAGTGGATGTTGGTAGACTAGGCATTTAGCACATCCTCTCATCTACGAAACTAGTTGTTCCACCTTTGTGGTCACTGATCGCCCCGACTTTTATTTCCCCGAAAGTACCTGCCCTTCTTTCCAGCATATCTAAACGTGGAAAGTACCCAACTAAGACAGCTTTGATGCTCAAATTGATCCACTCCGTATTTCGATATTCTGGCAGCACGAGTAGAACAAATAGGAAATAATCATACGGCCTCCACAGAAGACGCGAAGAACAGCTACCAAAAGAGACGAGATAGTGAAGATCATCATGGAGAACGAATCAACCATGCAGAGATTTTCCAATGACGGTAAACGTTATTGGGCTAAAAAAAGACCTCCTAATTGGGAATTGCAGTGTCTGCTCCGTATATCAAATTTTCAAAGCTTAAAACGGGGAGTATTGCGGTCAGAAAAACAGCATATCAAAGTTTGACTTTCGTATCATTAATTAGTGCATGTCATTCTGTAATTTTGATTCAACAACATGATAAATTTAGCAAGGTCCAGAAAGAAACTGTTCCTCTTTTCTAGTACCATAAATCCATCACCAAAATCAGACAGCATATATATCATTATCGTGCCCCCAAAACCACTAACGTGATTCATCACCGAGTGGATCATATCACCAAATGAATCACTTTCACTTCAATTGATATATTCAAATTTATATTATTCAATAATCATTGATTCAATTGATTAAAGCTATTAAGAATCTAATAATCTAGAATCTATTATATCAATTTAACAAGTTCTTGTATTATAACCTGTCTTTCTACAATTACTATAATATTGACTAGAAAATACTTCCCTATTAGAATTCCTTCTATTTTGATATTTGTTGTATTGAATTTGAATATCAACTTCTTGTTGAGATAATATATTTATAGCCTCCTATTTAATAAATACTTCTCCTTAATATATTTGTGTCTTTTTTGTATATCAATATTGGTTTAATGTTTCATTAACTTTTCGAAATGTATAGTTTTTTATATTTAAAAGTGTATTCTTATATACTAATCTCTTTATATTCTTAACTAAAGCTAACACAATCTTAAATAAAGGTATAGGAAAACTTAATTGATGATAAGTTATTTGAGATTTAACTAATATTAATTAAGAAAGAGCTTTTATAGGATTATAAGGAGTTTGAAAAACCTAAAGATCTAAATTGAAAGGGGAAGAAGTAGACATATAAATTTGAATATTTAATTTAGAAAGCATTACTTTAAAATTAAATAGAACTAATCCTGCTCCTCAAGACCCAACTTTTATATTCTGATTTGTAATTAATTATTAATATATAGTTTTGAAAGCTATAAAGAATTCGATCTTTGAGATATAATTGATATATGCTCTTATAAACCCCTCAATTTGAGTATCATATTCTCGTTTTAAAGTATTAAAACATTTAATATTAAGAGGCTAAATTAAATGACTTGAATATAATAATAAACATACATATTTAATATTATTCTCTTTATAATAATTCTGGAATAGTATTAATTCATGGTTCTTATATTTATTCAGTACTAGCATTCTATATTTACCCTTAATTCAATTTCTTATATATTTATTGAAGTGTTTCAAACCATTTTAATCCTATCTCATTATTTGTCCATCCATTAGAAGTAGGTTTAATAACTCAATCTACAAGAAGATCAGTTTCTGTATACCAATTAAAAAAATGTATCTATTCTTAAACTATTAGAAATAAAGATATAATATCCCTCTCATTATTGTTATATATAATTACTATCGTTCATTCTCGATTGCCTGGTTATATAGTTTTACTTCTATTGAATCTTTTAAAGCTAATAACAATCATACTAGTATTTATAATTCCCATTATAAAGCCTATTTCATTGAAATTCCATAAATCATAATCGAGAATACCAAATTTGTTTTATATATTCGATATAAATCGGAACCAATCTTCAATAAGTTTAGGATCTTTGTAGAAAGCTTTTTGAAAATCATAAATACGAGTAAAACATATCCTTAACTCTTTATTACGTTTTACAAATCAATATGCTCATTACTTTCCAACTCTTTTTACTCCTTTTGATTTAAGAATATAATTTGCTATATCTTCCACCCCCTTATATTTAGACATAAAACCTTTTATATCCATATCAATTATATATTGAATAATAATCTCCTCTTCTAATTTCAAAAGGTTACTATTATTTAGTAGAGATTTGGTATAAAAAGTAAAACCATTCATTCTATAATATAATATTATATATAATATATTATATAGCTTGATAGATTATTGAATACTAAGTTTTTTGTCTTTTCGAATAGCCTTAATAACTAAGAATATTCAAGCTTTATTATTATTCGATTACATAATAATTGATTGATAAAATGTATATTGAATTGAGATATGAATATTTGAGGTGAAAATGATTCACTCAGTGATATGATCTACTCGGTGATGAATTACGTTATACAAGCTAGGCACATATGATATAATGATTTTAGCATACCGTTACTTTCGTCAACAATGTGGGGATAAGGCTATTAGGAGGAAAAACAAAATAAAAGCATAATTTCCAACGGCGGAGACTACGATGCTCAATATACCAAATGGGCAATGTGTCAGTGCACACGCGGTAGATCACCAATCCTTCTCGTACAGATCGACGCTGTCAGAAATAATCTCATTTTAGACCCTGGACAGCACAGGGGCTCATAATTCAATTGCCGAGACTTCTCGTTATGGATGAATTACTGTACTTTGTCTCGAGTGTGTTTATATGAAGTGGTGAGCGCTTGGTCTCTACGGAGAGATGATTAGCTATTGACATGCTCGGACTCCATATTAGTACCAGTAGTTGCGTGCGTTAATTTAAGGTGTCTTTACGCGGAAATTTAGAGTTGGTTGGGTGGATGGCTACAACCTATTTTGTAAATAATAATCAATTCGGACAACTTTTGAACCATAAACCACGATAACAACGATGGCAGGATTTACCTCCAAAAAGATAGCAATAAAAAACATTCAGGAAGGAAGAGACGAGTTAAAACAATACCCTAGTAAAGATAAACAAGGTACTTGCCCAATCAGACCCTAGCGTCACACTAGTTCGTAGCAAGAACATCCAAATGGGGTCTCTTGGATATCACCCCTGTGGGTAGCGAGTGTCAGAATTTCAAGAGGACATTTGGTACAGGGAGTTTGGTAAGCAACGAATGAGTTCAAAGAACCATCTATCTACAGAATCTAACAAACCGCCAATGCAAGTCTAAACACCCCATAGAAGAATAACTATCTACATCTAGTACCCCTTTAATGAAAGCAACTCCAACCTGTAAAATAGCAATAACAATAAAAGTAGCAACAGCAAAATAAGACACCACCTA